ACCCTCTACATGCAAAGGCGTTAATTTTAGCATGTGCAGAGAGACTGATAAAGATTGCATGGGAAAAAAAAAAAAAAAAAAAAAGGATTGTGTGGAAGTCTGAACAGACTCAGAAGTGGTAAAGGGTGCGAAGCACTGTGAACAGTGTGAAAGCATACCCCCTACATGCAAAGGCTGACACGTATAAATCGAGAAATGGTCCAAAATTTTGATATTAAAAAAAAAAAGATAAAGGTTGCATGGGGAGGAGGGAACAAAAAAAAAAAAAAAAAAGATTGTGCAGAAGTCTGAAGTGGTGAAGGGTGTGAAGTTGTGAACAGTGTGCAAAGCAGCCCATCATTTAAAGCTGTGGACTCGATGTTCAACAACGAGTGATTGTCAAACGCCTGAAGACTTACTGAAGAAGAAAGCTTTCAGAACAGAAGATGTCATCCGTTCAACATGCATATAACTCTGATGTAGAGGTAACTATGATGTTAAATTATCTACACAGACGGTGACAATAAAGCCATCAGTTTACGTTTTTTTGAAGTTTTTTCTCCGAGAAAATCAATATCGTATTTTTTGTTCCAAAAGGGCCCAGTGTCTGAGCCCAAACACAAAGTGAAAAAAGCTAAGCAGAAGTAAGGTTGCCACGTCACCCACGGAATGCGGAACCCCGTCCTGCCCCTCTCCAACACCAACTCCAGCACCAAGATTACATTGAACTCCTATACAAAACCAATGACTCGTCTTCCGAAATACAACACCCTCCCGTCTTTGCAAGGTCCACCAGGAAAGAACTAAAGGTTATCTGTCCAGACCCATTTCAAAGAGCACTATGTGTGCGGATGCCATCCAGTGCCGGGTGAACCATAATTTGACTCCTGGGGGTAAAGACGACGCTCTCCGAATCTATAAAAACAGTCTCTGCCCCAATGCTTTTTCATTCCCTTTGAAGACAAATGCTGCAACGCCCCCGCGTGACGCCCCACATAAACAGCATTACGCTTCTGACACTGGAGGAACCAAAGAAAGTATCACTGCCTTGTGACACTGGAGTGTGACACTGGAGGAACCAAAGAAAATATCACTGCCTTGTGACACTGGAGTGTGACACTGGAGGAACCAACAAAAGTATCACTGCCTTGTGACGGACAACCTCACACGCAACACTGCTTTCTAGTCGGCGCTAAGGGCAGAGACCCAAAAGGGCGTTACAACGGGGGTGCCAAGACTTTTTAGGGGATGCCGGGGTTGGAGTTCCCACAAGTGGTTAACGGGGACCCCCACTTTCAGCTCCTGACTAACGGGTCGAAAACTGAAATTAGGGTTTGTTCCAGGCCGGAACTGGAATCTCAGTGTACCGGTCCCCTTACAGGTACAGTATCTTATGGGGGCAGAAGCGGGAAGAGGAAGGTTGTCGTCAACGGACATGTGAAAGATTAGGAAGGTGAGGCTAATTCGATACGTTTGAATTTACAACAAACGGATAAAGAAAGAAAGAACGAAAGAAAAAAAGAAAGAAAGAAAGAAAGAAAGAAAGAAAGAAAGAAAGACTATGCGCAAGTGGGCATCGGCCGGTCGTACATGCCTCGTTCATTGGTTGATCGAAAAGACAACGGCGATTTCCAATGAAAAAGGCGTGCAGGGTCCAACGATGGGGTTTGTCAAAGTTTCTAGCGGGCAACGGTTACATCTTCTTCATTTTCTTTCACATCGAAGACCGCAGGGATCCAGGAAGGATCAATGGTTACGTCATCTTCGTTTACGTATTCTGCAGAGTCCGGAGTCTGACGTGGATGGTCTTAAATGGACTCCTCCTCATTCCCAAACTTCTTCCTCGGTTCAGCTCGCTCGCGTAACTGAAACCCTACAGATAGTATTGATCCTCCCGTCAACATTTAGGGCACACGGTTCATGGCCCGGTATGAGCAATGGCCGCCCGATGGCTGCCCGAGGGATAACTGTGAGCTTGTCATTCAATCTTTGACGCTGGGGCCCACTTAACGAGGCTGCTCTTATCACCTCGTTAAGTGGGTTTTCCCACATACGAAGTTTTCGCAGGGGGGGCGGGGGGAATACAGAGTACAAGGGAAATATAATTCCCACAATCACAAACCCAACGCCCAATAATGCCAGAAAAATATGACTTCTCCGCAACGATGTATGGTCTGATACGTGCTTTAGGGCTTCTGGCCCCGCCGGGCACGCACGGCCTCGAACGGCACCCTCAGCCACAGGAACCAAGTCTCTTAACCACTACAGCCCCCTGACGCAGTGTTCAAAACTGGCGATCGTACTGGTCATGATATCCACCCCACCCCTGCAGGGCTTTAGTGTCCAAC